TTCCCTACACCCTTATTTCTAGTGGTTTTAATTATATATGTATTGATAATATTTTTTAGCCATCGTTCACCTTTTGCAGAAAAAACTAGGAAGTGGACAATTGTGACGTGTCTGTCATATACCAGCATTATGTATGAGCACATTAGCAAATTTCGTGAATATACCATCCCACACTCCTTACAGGTATAGGTTATTTTTTTATAATACAATTTTTCATGTTTATTAAGCGGCCCAAATATATTTTAGCCTCTCTATTCCATATGAAAATAAGAACCCAAAAGTATATAAACATAAACTTAGATTTAGTAGTATTTTAATAGTTTATCTTGCTTAGAAATGATCTAGTTACTTAATTAATATCTATTTCTTAATTTAACTTAGGATAACTCTAAGGTTTCACATTACCAAATATTTGGAAACTGTTTTTAGGTTATAATAATTATAACATTAAGCAAGGCTAAAAATCACTTCATTATTTTTCTGTTAACTAATTTGATAGCATGCGCATGTTAGGCAAGCATCAAAAAATCAAAAACCTAAAAATGTTAAATATATGGGCTTTTGTTTAACTGCTGTGCTTAGTATACATGAAGTGATGGATACTGCACTTTTACTTGTTCATTCTTAGGTTAAATTTATAATTTTTATAACTTTAAACATTTAGTAGAGTTAACATATTAGAAAACCCAGGTAGAATAAATATGTTTGCTCATCTTATCCTTAATACTGATAAATCAGAAGATATACCCTTTTTTATTAAACCAACAATATTAAAGTAATCTTATTTCCCAAAGATTTACCCAAGTCATATGAAATTGAAAATGATTTGAGTTAGTTCCTATATTTCTGGGAGTTTTAGTAATATTTATGTCTCATTTATCTTGTAAGCTAATTTGAATATAACTCCTCCTTTAAGGAATTTTATAAATTAATTTGTAATACCATCTGGAAGTAGGGAAATATCATTTACATAATATGCGTGCATACATACAAGCATATATAAACATACAGATGCAAACAGAGATCTTACAGCTTTTATTCTAAAATTTTAGCCATGAATCAGGTAACACAGTAATACAAAACTCACTGGTTTATCTCCACTTATATTTTTATCTGAATTGTGTTTCTCACAAAAATGGGATAAATTGAGGTTACCTACTCAATAAGAGCTAAAGATTAGGGAAAAGAGCTAATGCATGCTGGGCTTAATACCTAGGTGATGAGTGGATAGGTGCAGCAAACCACTATGGCATATGTTTACCTATGTAACAAACGTGCACATCTTGTACATGTACCCCAGAACTTAAAGAAAAAAGAAAGTTAAAAAAACGAATATGATAAAGTCTCAGTTATAATATATGTAACTTTTTTTTTGGTTGTTCATTTTTAATGTATTTTTTAATTGCATTTTAGGTTTTGGGGTACATGTGAAGAACATGCAAGATTGTTGCATAGGTACACACATGGCAGCATGATGTGCTGCTTTCCTTCCCTTCACCTATATCTGGCATTTCTCCCCATGCTATCTCTCCCCTACTCCTTTTTTAAGAAAGAACATGTTAAAAGGAATAAATAAAATGTAAATGACTGAAGAAAAACAAAAGAGCTACAGCTTTTTATGAAGTTTTGTGGAGGCCTCCAAGGACCTCCAAGATTTTCTTTTGCCCTGATATGTAATCCTATAAAGGCTGAAGACTAAATTTGAGATCAGAGACTGAGGGCACATCAAGCAAATGTCTAGATGATTCCAGAGTCAATCTGAGTAGATGAACTATCCAGTCTGGGCTGGGCACAGTGGCTCACTCCTGTAATCCCAGCATTTTGGGAGGCCGAAGTGGGCAGATCATGAGGTCAGGAGATCAAGACCATCCTGACCAACATGGCGAAACCCCATCTCAATACAAAAATTAGCTGGGTGTGGTGGTGCGTGTCTATAATCCCAGCTACTCAGGAGGCCGAGGCAGGGTAATTGCTTGAACCAGGGAGTCAGAGGTTGCAATGAGTCGAGATTGCACCACTGCACTCCAGCCTAGCAACAGACCATGACTCTATCTAAAAAAACAAAACAAAACAAAAAATCCAGTCTGTTTCCAAGTAGCCTTTTTTTTTTTTTTTCAGCCTCAGATAGTGGCTTTCAGGTATCTCTGAGTCCCTTGAGAGGCCCTGATGTGAGTGGGAGGATTAAAGTTCAAATGCCTGAGGGAGTTGAGCTGGAGTGAGAAGGGAAATGTCTGTCAGGGGTGGACAGAGAAGTGGAGCAGGCAGGGGTTTGAGGGGAACATATCAAGGAATTCAAGGGAGCAGAAGGGAAGATCGAAGGTGGTAAGAGGAAGAAGCAATGGGAAGGAAGAGACCATAGAAGGGCCAGTTTGAGGAGATCTCAAGTTCCTCAGAGAGGCCATTGGAGTTCCAAATAATCCTCAGCAAAATCATGCCAATAAGAAAGGAAGTAGACAGAGCTGGTATGAGCAGGGTTTCAAGAGGAGGAGTTTCAGACAACTGAGCAGTTTCTATGGGAGAAGCAGGATCAAACAGAGAGAAAAGAGAGGCCTCACAAAAAGCCAGGAAAAATAAAATTTCCAGCCTAGTAATCATAGGGCGGATCCTTACTTGAAACAAAAGAGTCAGGAAAATATTCCAGGCCAGAGAACCAGGAAGTAATTAAATAAGGGTCGGGGGCAGGAAGATTTTTCTAGCCAGGACCAGGACCAGGAATCAGAGAATATATATAACTCCACTCCAAACAAAGAGCCAGGAAGAAAGACTTCCAGCCCAACAGGTGCCTTTTCTTTTCGTTTTTTTGAGACAGGGTCTCATTCTGTCACCCAGGCTGGTGTGCAGGAGGCTCAGGTGCCTTTCATAAAAAGCTGCAGACTAACCCAGCTTCAGAATCATAAGAATCAAAATGCATCCTCACCATGCTTCAACAGACTGCCATCTGAAGCACTGGCTCAAGAGGTGGACTTACCAATGGATTCCTGATCAGTCAGCCAAGAGTGAAGACAAAGGTTTCAAAGGTGCATACTTCAGGTTCTGGATGAGAGCTCCAGGGGTCCAATGGTGAATCTGATCTTATCTGAGTCACAGTCAACATAACTGTTAAAAAATTATTCATGACACTTGTTAAAGATGGTAAGGAAGACTCTATTCCATGGAGGACTATCAGAGTAGCTACAGCGACACTGCAATGGGGTCAGTCTTGCAGTAGGGGAGAAAAATTGGCATTGACACCCACTCCAACAAGAGTAGGTAAAAGGCAGGGTGGAGACTCAGTGAATGGAAAATTACCAAAAGGAAATATCAGGGCTAAGGGGGATTCTTGCTAGACTGACCCAACAGGAATTTGATCAGCTATTCAGGGAGGTCAGATACCAGTGGTGGGGAATTTTGAATAAATTAACTTAGTAGGATTCATGGTCAAACTGGATTCTACAAGCCCAAGTTTAGGCCTAGTTGAGCAGAGGGCCTGGAGGAGCCTCATTAAGTTTGGTCAAAGGAGAGAGTCTTTGTCACTTCCTTTTACTTTTGATGTTTGTCATCTAGTGTAAACAGGTAAGAAATTACAAATGACTCCAAATGCTGTCACAGAGAATAAGAGACGCCATAAAAGCATAGGAAGGTCTATTTGCTGTGGGTAGAGGGGGTGTCAGAAAATTGCCCCTGAAAGTCAACGATGATTGAACTGAAATCTGAAGAGGCGCTCCAGGCTGCACGAAGAACCTGGGGGGAAAAAAACCCAAAAAAATTCTTAGACAGGAAGGATCATGAATGCTCCCATAATTGGAAGATTGAAATAGAAAGCTGGAGGTAGAGTAGGAAGAATATAAAGGAAGAAGGCTCCAGATAGATGCCTGAGTAAACTGGGCAGATTATAACAGCCACTTTTCAGCTTCTTCTGAATTTGGGTCTTTATGTCAAGAACAGTGGGCAGCCATTGAAGGGTTTGAAGGAGAGATGAAGATCTGATGGGTGTTTTGAGGGTGGATGAGAGATTGGACAGCAGCAGGAAGAGATATGGGGGCCCAGTTCAATGGCTGTGAGTGAAGTTGCCATAACAGAAAATGGTGGTTGGAAACAGGGTGGTGGCAGGAGAGATCAAATGAGCCTCTTGAAATATTTAGGTCACTTCTGAGGGCTGGATTAGGGAATGGGCAACATGAAGGGACTGAGGAGGACATGCAGATTCCTAGCTGATGCAAGTGGCTGTATGTTGGGGTCATCCACCAAGACAGGGAGAGGAGAGGAGGACCAAGGTGTGTGAGGAGGAGGGAGAGTGTGGATGGGCACAGGAGAGAGGAGTAGAAGGTCATCACCTTCTAGCTGAGGCCTCTCATCTTTCCAAAGTTGTGGCTTTCAAAGTTTTGACAGTGACCCATAATGAGAAACATTTTACATAGCTTTCCTGTAGGCAGATAGGGTGTACAAAAGTTTCTAAAACAATGCTTCCCGTTTCCATGTGCATCCAAAGGGTATTTCTTACCATATTTTCTTTTAAAAGGGAAAAATAAAATGATGTAAGCATGCGCCAAGAGGCAGTAAGTTAAACGGTAAAGGCAGCGATAACAGCGAAAGCAACGGTAGCTGTAACGGTAGCGGTGACCGCAGCGATAACGGCAACGGTGACGGCAAAAGCAACGGTAGTTGTAACGGTAGCGCTAAAGGTCACGGTAACGGCAGAAGCAACGGTAGCAGCAACAGTGGCTGTAACGGTAGCGGTGACGTCAGCGGTAACAGCAACGGTGATGGTAAAGGCAACGGTGGTTGTAACGGTAGAGCTAACGGTAGCGGTGATGGCAACAGTAACGGCAAGGGCAATGGTAACGGTAGCGGTGACGTCAGCGGTAACAGCAACGGTGATGGTAAAGGCAACGGTGGTTGTAACGGTAGAGCTAACGGTAGCTGGGATGGCAACAGTAATGGTAGCGGTGACAGAGGCGGCGACCATTGTGATGCCATACGCAACGTCCTTTGTGACACCAGGGCCTTGGTGCTATAACTAGGGCGTTGGGACCTGTTGCCTAGACAGACTGCGCTGCAGTTTCAGACCGGAGGGATCCTGGCGGCTGCTCGCCTGCCCAACTCTCTCGACGCCCTTGTTTCCACAGGGATGTCAGCCTCAGCGTCTACCTCCTCACAACTGCCCATCAAGGGTATCCTGAAAAACAAAAGCTCGTCGGGTTCCTCGGTGGCGTCTGCCGGTCAGCAGTCTGGAGGGAATATTCAAGATGCAAAGAGGAAGAAATCCCAGAGGTGGGACGAATCAAGCATCCTTGAGACATACCGCGCAACCTACAAAGATTACGGTTTAATGAAGGAAGATGAGCCTAGCACTTCCTGCATGAGTGCGCAAGACCATAAGGAAGATTCAGGGTATGATGTTGAAGGAGAGGAAGCTGTGACCCTCGACGCGCTACTTAGAAAACTAGCCGCCACTGATACTTCAGACCAGAGCTGTGAAGTGGAGGAGCCAGAGAGCACTGACGCATACGTGAAAAAAATTCTCCTCCACAAGCAGGAGAAACAACGGCAGTTTGAAGTGAAAAGAAAGCTTCACTGCACTGAAGAATTGAACATCAAATTAGCTAGACAGTTAATGTCGAAAGACTTGCAAAGCGAAGATGATGACGGTGAAGAAAGGCTGCAAGCCACTGCCGAAGAGAAAACTGCTGCAGAAAAATCACAGGAAGCTCCTCTAAGCGACGAATAGCAAGTCCAGTCATGCGACGCATGGAAGATATCTGCTTCACCCTTGCAATTGTTTGTGAAATACAAAACTTGTTAATGTAATACACTGCTTCTTGTTTTCTATAGCGCATGCGAGAAGCACTAAATTACTTAAATTGTAATGCAGAATTGAATGGTAATCTTAGAGAGTAATAGATTAAGTGGGAAATGTCTGCTTGATATTATTGGTAATTATTTAACACCAATACAGATCCTGATATTGCTTTTAATTTTATACAACCATGTTGCTTTTTATAAAACCATGGGTTAATGTATATATTCTATAGCTTTTTAATATGTTAAAGACTTGAAGGGGGACTAATTTATATTCCCTTCTAGTTGTACTAGCTGTTGTAGAAAAGGTTTTGTTAAAAATTTAAAACATAATTGGTAAAGTAGATTATCTAGGCTGATAAATATTCAGGCTAAAAAACACTTTAGGGTGATTTACTGTTTAATTGAGAGGGAATATATTATGAGTTATTGCTGAATTTCCTTATAGTACCTTTACAATTTTTCTTAATTTGTGTTTACAAGGAAATGACTGAACTTTTTCTCATCAAAAGTAGCCATCTTTCATGCATTACCAGGTTAAAATTGCAACAATGTCCAGTTTGTTTTTTGTACAGAGGATGGGCAGATTTAGTATCAGTAGTTTTTTTCAAATTCTAAATTAGGAGTCCCTTTTCATGCCTATCTTAACCTCCATCCTTTGTTCCGCAATCCTCCCATCCTATGCACATCCAATCCCTTACCTTTATGGAATATCATAGATAGTCAGGACATTAGAAACCCATTTTTCTCTCAGATATTCTATGTGCTGCAACAGTGTCATTTCCATTTTGAGCATCACGGTCTTCTCAGCCTAACAACATGTGGGGTTACATAACTATTTGAATGCAAAAAAGTGATCTCCATATGCCTGCAGAGTGAACACCTGCCTGCAGATGCGTGCTTCTTTAAGTTCCTTCTGTCTGAAGGTGAAGACAGAAAGCTCAGCCCTCGTGACCTGTTCTTGCTCAGAAGAGAAGGAAACCCAACTCACATTTGGCTAGACTTGGGGGAGGGATGGGGTTGCAGAAATTATAAGGGAAAACCATAGATGACTCACAAGTGGGGGGATAAGCAGATGAAGACATTGGAGGGAATAACATATGTTTCTACATGGGGGAGGGAGGTGTGTCAAAGAATCATTTTCCACAAGATGATACACTATTGTTTACCTAACACAATACCACATTTAGGTTATTAGGGAGAAATGTGGGCAACGAGATGAGGGACGAAGCCTCCAAAACCCAAATTTGGGGAGGAATACAACCAATAATTTTTAATAAGAAACTTGATCAAATTAGCACCACCATTTTATAATTGAAAAAGTCAGCCCATAAGAGAAAGGATGCAACATTCAATACACATTCAAGGGGAAACAGAAGAGACTGAGCTCTCAGCCAGTCCACACTGGGTGGGCTTCAGCAATCGAAGCTGCGTGTATAGAGGCCTTTGGAGGATTTAAGAATGCAGACTGCAAAAAGTCTGGGGAAAACTGAAAATTGTGGGTGTGTGTCTGTGTTTGTGTGTCTCTGTGTGGGCACAGGGGAAAGCTGCCTTGAGCATTCTTCTCTACCAGTATAAACACAGTTCTCTAAGACAAGGTTATACATTATTAGCTCCTGAAAAATAATAAAGAATTGTTTTTATCATTGTGTAGGCAGAGCATTTTTTGCATCACTGAACTTGCCTATGCATGCTGGGTACAAAATACCTTATTCTTTCACAAAGCCTTCTTTTTCTTCATCTTTTTTTGTTTTAAAGCAGGCTCTTTGAAAGGTGCATATGAACCCGGTTTCCATAGCAATTGCAAGCATCAGTGATAACCCAGAGCTTCTAAGTTATAATATACAGGCTACCCTATTAATGAGTTTCAAACTGCATTTCCATGAAACAACGGCTCAGCCACTGATAGATAAGGTCAGACCCCATCTTCAAACTTTAAATTAAATCAGGATAGATCAAAATGCAACAGAGGGAGGGGTGTCCTTTTGGGAAAGCATGCTGTTAAAAATATGTTCTTTGTGGAGGCAAAACAGTTGCTTTTGTGGTTTGTAAAGCCCAGATGAAAAAAATATGAAACACATACAGCTTCTTCTGGGTTACTAATGGCATGTTGTCATTTTCTCATGCTATTTGTGAGCAAGTTTTTATCATGGTAGCTCAGACTCTAAGAAAGGACACAATCATTTGCTTTAGGAAGAACAGACATATGGCTTACTTTTTGCCAGATCTCACATAACATTATGTTATAATTTATTAAATTATTTATTTATACACTAGGTGCCAAGACTCTGTGCCTACCTTTAAGGAGATACCAGTTTATTGATGGGAGGGCTCAGCCATGTCACCAGGCCATTTTTATACTGTACAAGAGTGCTTCACAGAGGTCCTCAAAGGACATCACCCAAGGTCTTGAAAGGTCTTCACCTGGAGTGGATATCGAGGATAAGACCTGGAAGAGACATGAAATTTAACCAGTGACAAGAAGTAGATTCATGGAGGTTAGCATTCCAGATGTAGGTAAGGAGATGTAGTTTCCTTGGGGAGCTGCAAGGTATTCTGTGTGGGAGACTGTATGGGACTAAAGAGGTAAGAAAGGCTATGAAAGGATTCAGTTGCCACACAAAGGCAATAGGACCCACTAACACTTTTAAACAGGATAGTGACATGATGAGACTCATGTTTTCGAAAGACCACTATCACTGTGGGGTAGGGCCTGAAACAAAACAGCATAGAGAGACAAAGCTGGAGAGAGGAGCACAAATGTGTGACATGCGTTACAGGAAGCGTATGGCTATAACATTCAAGTGCTGAACCTCTTACCTTGCACTCACGGCAGAGTCACACCCTGCTTTATATCAGTGCCATGCAGTGTGGCCCTCAGACTGGCTGCATAACCATCACCCAGAAGCTGGTTAAAAATCCTAATTTTCAGGCTTCATCCCAGACCTACTGATTCAGCATCTCTAGGGCTGAGGTCTAGCATTCTGTGCTTTAACAAGCTTCCCACAGGATTTTTCTGGACGTTCAAGTTTGAGAACCACTGTTTACAACATAACTTTTTAATTAGCTGAGCTCAACTCTGTGGGACAGATCTCACTTGTGTGTGTGTGTGTGTGTGTGTGTGTGTGTGATGTATATACAATTTTACAAAAATACATTACATTGAATGTCAGAACTGCACATAGGTTTGTTGAGAAACTTTCACAGGTACGCTGCCAGGTTGAAATCACAGTATACTCAGTCTGTTCCCAACCCTCCAAAGCAACCCTTTCTGTAGTCCCTCCTCCATACCCTGCTTATACACTATGCTCCTCCCGGCACTGGTATAGTTGGCATTTCCACTGCCACCCACAAAGTCCTAGGACTTCTCCATATCTTCAGCTTTACTTGGGCTATTCCTTTTGTCCAGAATATACGTCTTGCTAGTTTTACTGCACGTCTCAATCAGTCTTCCACATCCAATATAATTCATCGTGCAAACTTCTAAGTCAGAATAGTGGGTGTCTGCCTTGGGGGAGGCAGAAAAGTACAGTAAATGACAGTGAAGAATTTGGAGTCAAAAAGATCTGGATTTGAATTCAGGTTCTGCCATATATTAGCTGAGTCACTTGAGGCAAAGCATTTCACCTCTTAGAGCCAGTTTCCTTACAATCAAATGAGAATAATAATAACAATACCTTCCATTTCTGGTTGTTGAAATGATTAAATAAAAAAGTGTTAGTAAAACACCTGGCTTTTGGTAAGTATTCAGTAAATGATAGCTATTATTGTTCTCATCTGCACACATTTTCTCTACATCTGTTAAACCAATCATTTCTGTGATAGTGTTTGGTTTCTGAATCTATCTCTCTTTTCCCACTGGGCTGAGAGCCTCTTGGAGATAGGAGCTCTGTCCGTGCATCTGAGATCTCTAAACACAGTGCCTCATACTCAACAGATGTTGTAGAACAGAACTGAGAGGTTGCACTTGAGCAGTTTTTCCTCCTGTCAAATTGTATTCTATAATTCGCCTATGATTTACCTACTCAAATACAGTTAGTTCTCTGAGGCTCCTCAAGTTTTAGCTCCATGAGCTGTGAGGGGCGCAGGTGAAGACAAAGTGAAAAGATGACAGTCCCAAAGGGCAAGACGTGAGTGGCAGCTGCTTCAAATAACCTTCTCTTCTAGGATGTCCTTGATGTTTTCATCATCACTAAGTTTGGAAAGTAGGAGATGAAATGGGAGGACAGCAGGCAGGATTTAGATGGAAAGCCAATCTCCATTTTAATTTTAAAATGCATTGAATCTTCTAGGACATAGCCAAGTTTGTAAAAGTAAGGAATTAATTTTGTCTCGTGAATCCAGACCTCAGGTAAGAACCACATTCAGTTATTTATAGTAACACATGACACTTTTATATTTGCAGAGTGTTTCTGATTCATTTTTTCCTTTTGAACTCCCTTTATTAATTGCTATTGACTTTCATAGCAACATAAAACTTTTAGAGCTAGAAAAGGCCTTAAAGACCCTTTAGTCCAACTGCTTCCCATTATAGGAAAAGTTTTGTGTCTCATTAGCAGCAGAGATGAAATTATCACCCAGGGCTTATAAAGCCAAGGGGAGACTAAGTTTGTATATAGCAACAAGATCTTTCTCTTTATATATACAGGGAAACTAGATTTAAAACCCATTGAAGTGTGTTTCTGAGTTTGTCTGGGGGCTGCTGTTGTACTTAGAACTCAGAAAAGCCTTCTAGAAGAATATGACCTTTCTTAGAAAGCCTGACCTCAGACCAGCACGCAACACGTCTGTTGGTGGATACTTTAGCTTTTCAAGCTGCATAGAGTGCACCTCGCTCCCCTGGTAGCACCTGAGTATAAGATAATGTAAGACAATAAGAAAAATTAGTGATGTACCTGTGACAGGCCACCACCCCTGAATTCCTCATCTTCTCTGAGTGACAGAAAAGGAGGCACTCATGGTCCCCTCACTGTCTCTGTCTCCTCAGCTTCCTCATTTGTGAGA